TTGATGGAATTCAGTAAACTATGTTTTAATTTAACTCTACAGAATTTTTATCAAATCTACCATTATACAGCTCTAATTATGGTATAAGTTTTTTGGATAGTATATTTATTTTGAGGATTATTTTATTTTAAGATTGATTTAACTAAACCTACAGGATTAATTTTATAATTTCTTTGAACAGAACACACACAAAATATGTCAGATCATTCATTATTACAACTTTCAATAAAGTAGTACATAGCATAAAACCTGAAAAGGGTTTCTGACTTTTGCTTGTGCTACATACTTTAAAAAATAATGAATCATATTTATCTTGAACCTTCACTTAAATAAAAAATCTATAGATCATGCAAACCCAGAGCTTCATAAACCCACACACACTTATTCAGATTATTTGATTATAATAGTCTGAATTACTATTCTAATTGGATTTTCTATTTCTCTTTAAGGTTATAGTTTTATTTCATTTTAGACTGGAAGTACTATTCCAAGCGCATTTTCACTTGCTGTCATTTCAAATTAGTTGATAGTGTGAAGGGATAGAGATTGGCTGGATCAACTTGTGTGGAATACCTATTGCTGAATATTTGCCCTGATGACAGTTTATTTACTATGAATTTCATTTTTCTAAAGAATAGATTAAAATGTACTAACATATAACATTATACATTTCTAAAGAGCAAAATAAGAGAACATTGATGAAAAGGATCATCATAATTGGTGGGATCCGTAGCTGTTAATTTTCTTGTAAAAACTGTGTGAGGAGCACAATATTTTGCAAACCTGATTTTTTTGTCTCCTACTTAATTACAGAGTTCATTCAAAATTATCCATCCTTATGACTGTTCTAAGGGAAAGGCATTTCAAGCTTCCCTGTTGCAATCTCCACATTGTTATTATTTAAATAAAAATGAAAACACAGTGTGTCATACACAGAGAGCCTTACTAAGACAATCATGTTTGACTCTTCTTGAAGAAGATCTGTTTGGTGTTAAATACGTTTTTTGTTGTTGTTGCTTGTTTGTTTGTTTGTTTTTGTTTTATTTAGTTTTTGGTTTTGGTTTTCTAGTCAGGGTTTCTTTGTAGCTTTGGAGTTGTTCTGGAATTATCTCTTGTATACCAGGCTGGCCTCGAACTCACAGAGATCTACCTGCCTCTGCCTCCCAAGTGCTGGAATTAAAGCGTGTGCCACCACTGCCTGGCTGACCATTTGCTTTTTTAAAAAATAAATAAAATGGCATAGGGAAAATGTTTTTCATTTTTCTCCAATCATGGTAACATGCCCAATCTTGATAACCACTCTCACTAACCTGGAACTTAATATTTAATCACATTTATACATTGTCAAGCATTTTTAATAGCGAGTGCTTTGTGGCTGGAAAGATGGCTCTGCAGTTAGAAGCACTTGCTGATATTGGAAAAGAACCAGTTTTTGTGCAGGGTACTCATAGTATAAGTCTGGTAACGGGTTTCTTAGTCCTAACATGGCTTACATCCATCTTTATTTTACACACTGTAGATGAACTGCAATATTCATTTTATTATAACCTTCTAAACTATGAATTATCCCACCCTGGAATTAAAACACTAACTCTCTAGAGAAAAGCGTTCATTCTTTTACATTTGCCAGCCTCTGACTTGCTAAGCATAAATGTGGAGGTTTTTTTTTTCTTTTTCAGTGCTTTGACATGGTGGAATGTTTAGAATCCAGTGTAGAGTCTTCTAGAAATATGTGATGCCTTCCTGGCTTTTACTGTTTCTTAAAAATTATGACTATATATGTGCATTTGACACTGAATGGTATGGGTGAGAGAGAATGAATGTTAATAATATACTGGTCCAACAACTTTCCATGGGTTTTCCCATTGGCTGAAATTAAATACAGATGTTTGATAGAATTATATTTTTAAATTATTTTGGACATGAGTTAAAATCAATTCTAAAAGTCAATTTCTAATACTGGTTTTTATATTCATACTTTCAGTCATATTAGAAATTCAGTGTTAATATTATGTGAGATTCCTTATTTTTTAAAGATTTTTTTGAATTTCAGATACATTTTATATCCTTAATTTGGATAAACATAAAATTTGACATTGGGATCAAGATCACAGAGGACTAGGGGGGAATTATTACTGTCTCCAGGAATTGTATGGTAATATGATTTTTATTATTCATGTTATTAGACATTATGTCATATATCATTTTGGTATTTTTTGGAAGCAATGATTTTTTAATGATCATTTGTATTTTGCAAATAAAATTAAAGCATGAAAAAATCAACAAAGACTATTAATATGTGAAAATGGAGGTTTCAAGAATATTATATGTAACAAATACTTTAAACAGCAAGCTATATCAATATTTACCTCCTTTTGTGAAAAAAGTATGTTACCAATGCTAATTTTTAAGAATACATATTGCAATATAAAGTCTTGGTTTTCTAGTTTGATTTTCATTACTTCTTGTTTTTTTTTCCTTTTATTTTAGTATTATCTTTAAAAATATAATTAGAGTTTCTAGAAAACATTTTGCATTGATATTTTTATTTTTTGTTTAAGCCAAAATAATCACAAAATTTATTTATGGCAAAGTCAAGATAATATTACAGCTTTCCTAATTTGAAAATGAAATCTTGATGAATTTGATTATTTCTTTTTTGATATTTTTTCTTATTGTATCCTGTGATAGTGCATCCTTAGTAATACAGTTACTCTCAGTTGATATCTCCAGCTGTCTCAGCAAAACACAGCAGAAAGCAGCTCTTTTTAGAACTTGGAAACTAAGTTATCAAACCATCCTTCATAGAAGGATTGATGCCAATCATTCAGTTCAGTAACAGAGCACTGATGAAGTAAAGCGTCTTCAGATGAGGAAATGAGACGCAAGAGCAGCTCAGAGATTACTGGTACATTACCACCAGCATCATATTTCAGAACCCGCTCCTGTAGACAAACCCGGACTTTCCAGAGTCTGTAAAATTGTTCTCCGTGATTTAGAGTGATGTAATCTTGCTTTAGAAGTAACATTTTAAAAGCTATTAGTCATCTTTGTTTATAAATTTTCAACAGGCTTCATCTCAGTTTACTTGTTAATCAGAAGGCCCTGGAAAACAGCATGATTATGAATTACTTTCAATCAAAATTATTTCCTTCCAATTAGATATTGAATACAGAGCTAAAACAAATTGATATATATATATATATATATATATATATATATATATATATATAATCTTCATCTGTTTAATAAAAATTCTTATTGGAATAAAAAACATGCAATTCTCTTTAAAATGGAATAGATATTCATGAATGCTTGGTTGACAAAGATGAGGGATATTTGTTTGCCACAGGGACATTACGCTGTACAACAAAATAATGAGTTAATAAACGTAAATGAACCTCAAATTTGTTAAAGATAGTTCCCACATAAGTAAGACAATATATAAATATACAAATTTTACTCAAGAGATTTGGAAGTTTTGAAATGACTGATTTGAGAATGATGTTTGTAAACTATCAGAAGCCATGGATTTCTTCAGATATTTTTACATCTATCATACTATATAAGACCTGATAGTAAATTGTTTTAAATAAATTTCCATATGAATAAGACCGAGATATATGTGGATGTTTTAAAGTCTTGAGAAATAACTAAATTACAAATTTTTCTAGTATAAAGGAAAACTTTTAAGAAAATACAAAAAAATATTATTGGATAAATACATCTGCCATAAATATTCAGCTTTTTTTTCTATTATCATCTGTCTATATACACATGCTTGATAATGTTCAGATATTTGATTTTATTTTGTGTTTTATTTTGTAATGTTTTTTGAGACAGTGTTTCTCTGTGAAACAGTCCTGGTTGTCCTGGAACTAGCTTTTGTAAACCAGGCTGGCCTCACACAGAAATCCACCTGCCTCTGCCGCCCTAGTGCTCGGATTAAAGGCATGTGCTAGTACCACCTGGTTGTATAGATATTTTTAGAGTTAATATTTTAGTCCGTGTTTATTATGTCGATATTTTCAGAATAAATATTTCAAATTCATTTCTCAAAATTGATGGAGGATTTAGGTGTGGTAGCACACACATTTAATCCAATTTCAAGAGGTTAAGAAACAGGCAGACATACTGCAATGGAGTCTAGACTGGTCAACACAGTGAGACACTATCTAGAAAACAAAACAAAGCAAATCCAGATACCCTGACTTAACAATAAGAGATGAGTATGGTTCTGTTGTAAAAAAAAAGAAAGTCATGGCAGTATGAGTATGCATATTTAAAAACCCAACACTCTCAGGGAGAGAACAGAGACAGAAAAAGAAACTCTCTAAAATCTCCTGGGCCAGCTTTTCTGGCATCTGTAGTGCATAAAACTACAAAAATTCCTACCTCAAATAAAGTGGAAAACAAAGATAACCAATATATGAAAATGTCTTCAAAATTCACACACACACACTGTGTCATATTAATACCAAAATTTTATGTATATAAACATCTCAATGTATGTATATATATATATATATATCCCAACATAAATATTAAAAATAAATTATAAATATCAACTTACATATTTTTAAAATTTATGTTCTCATTTGCTTATTTATAATACATTTTAATATTCTTTCACATAATAATATAATAAAGGTGATTATTTTGATCATATAGAATTTTATAAATAGTTTAAACAGAAAAATAAATATTCACTCAAGCTTATTGTTACTCCAGATATTTAATGAATAATTCAGTTGATGACATTGTTATTATATAGGTTATAATTTATATAATTATTTCTTTTCCATTGAAATGGAAATTTGGATACAAAGTATAAAATATATGTAGCCATGTAAAAGTAATTTTGTGTTGTTTCCTGGTCACTTCTGCTATCATCTATTTTAAAAGCATCTAGTAGACTAAATTCAGAGTTTGCCAGCTCATCTCCTCAGTTGATGGAGAGTCTCTTGCAGGGTAACTAATTGCCTGTGTATTCTGTCTAGGTGTTGAGGGAAAGCTGAGAGGATGAAGGCTCTAAATCCCCAGTGGAAGCATGATATGGCGGCGCAGAGCTGGTGCTGAATTCTCCTCTCTGATGGCTCTATGGGAGTGGATAGTACTGAGTCTTCATTGCTGGATTTTAGCGGTTGCTGCTGTCTCTGACCAGCATGCCACAAGCCCCTTCGACTGGCTCCTTTCTGATAAGGGACCCTTCCATCGTTCACAGGAGTATACAGATTTTGTGGACAGAAGCCGACAGGGATTTAGCACAAGATACAAGATATACAGGTATGAAGGAAAACAATTGCAGATATCCTCCTTGGAGGTTGTGTATAAATAAGGGTTGCTCCAATGGAAAGTTTCAAAGCGGTTATCATTGAACAAACACCACAGTGATGTTTTCTAGCCATCTAAAATTACTGCGTGTAGGTGTGTCACATTACAGAAAAAATAGTTAACTATTTTCTTAACTCGCTCACTTTGGAGAAAATATGCCAGTGTTCTTGAAATCTTTTTTTATTATAATTTCACCTGTTTGAAAATTACTTTTAAAACTTTTATCAGTTGATGGCTTTCTTCAGCCTAAAGGGGAATGAAACCTTCTACAAACCTCTGAGTTCTGCCAATTTATGCTCTTTACAAGAATGTAATTGTATATTCTTAAGCTTGGAGATAAAGCAAAGGTATAATTATAAAGGAACTCCAGACAGATGGGCATAAGAGCAAACAACCCAAAGTGGATTAATATGTAAGGCTGCTAACTCTATCAATCCTTTAAACTTGAAGTATAAGTAAGCTGTACAAAAGAAGTCATTCATTAAAATTCTCAAAGAATGCTTTTTCCCACACAGCCCAGAGATTGCATTAAATAGATCACTGTACCAGGGGTCACTTGAATCAATTAGATCATATTTATCTTTGTCATTAAGATTGTTTATGCAAATTATCACTTTGAATTATTTCTTTGTTTCTTAAGTGGAGAGTTTGTTACTCCTAGTTGCTGGTATTTATGAAGAATCAAACTTTGTTATGTTGTGTCTGTTTCATTCAGATAAGGATATATAAATATTTTTATTTTATGCAGTATGTGCACCAGAGGGCACTGTGCTTCAGGTCTGCATACTCTTTTATAGAGCACGAGGAATTTATAAATTTTATCTGTAGTCCATATTAGAAGAAGATACTGAGTATCCTTTGCATTGCATATTTATTCATTGCTGAACTTCCAAAAAATAAAAAGTCTTTGTCTATGCAAAGCACTATCAAGTCTAAGAAGCAGAAAAAAATATTATTCTAAGTTTTAAGCAAAGTGACAAATACTAAGATTTTTCTGTCTAAATTTGTCAGAGACGAAAAAGGTATGAGATTTCTGGCCATATGCTTTTATGCATATTTGCTTCATTAAGAATCTTCTCTTCAGAGACTTATGGAAGAAGCCTGACTTTAAGACTGTGGGAATGCCTAACACTTCAGGCCTGCAGGACTTTTAACAGGCAGGCAGGTAGAACCAGAGAAATTGTCTATGTTGTGCTGGCATCTGTTTCTGTCTGGATATTTAAAGTGTCGTATGCATGAGTTTCGGTGGCTTGACTGGTTTGCCAATCAAGTGTGAAGATCAGACAGATTCCACATGCTTCTTCAGGTTTTGAGTTGAATCAAAATCATTATTTGGGTCACAGAACTTAAAAGTCTGAAAGACATAAAACATTTGGAGAGGCTCTGCAAAGCTCATGTACTGCTTGGTCTTTTTAAAAGTAATTTTATTAGTCTCTCTCATGTGCTTACTTTGTAGCTTGAAAAACATGATCAGATGCTGAGTAAATTTTTTAAAATGAGGGTTTAAGGTCCACCTATTTCTGACCTGGGTTACAACATTTTAAAGGCTCTTGTGTTTATCAGCAACTCAATGGTCATGATAATTCTGTGAAGTGAATAATATAACCTCTTATTAAAGTTCTTCAGTGTTGGTGAGGAGAGGTATTTGATTTTGCCAACCAGCATTTCCTTAAGGGCAGAGGCATTGTTTACCTTTCCCTACAATGCCATATATACAAAAATTAATTATGAAGAAACTGACTTCATTTTTGAAAGGGTAGAAATCTCATATTAAGGTATTAGACTAATTTTATAGGGGTTGTCCTTACTTTTGTCTTTTATTTACCTCCAAAAATAGGTTTTAGATGCTAAGCATTAGCTGTGTGTGTCCTGGGACAGAGGCAGGCAGATCTCTGAGTTTGTGATGAGTCTGGTCTAAGGAGCAAGATCGTGGACAGCCAGCGACAGACAGGAAACCCTTTCTCAACAGAGAAAACAAGTTTTGAGCTCTTTTTTTTAAACTTTTGCATATATTTGCCATAAATACTGATATGGAAATTATGAATATTTTTTTTTTTTTTTTTTTTTTTTTTTTGGTTTTTCGAGACAGGGTTTCTCTGTGGTTTTGGAGCCTGTCCTGGAACTAGCTCTTGTAGACCAGGCTGGTCTCGAACTCACAGAGATCCGCCTGCCTCTGCCTCCCGAGTGCTGGGATTAAAGGCGTGCGCCACCACCGCCCGGCTGGAAATTATGAATATTTAAAACAGATGGAAAATTAATATATTCCACATTATCTACTTGGTTTATCATTTTAAAGACCATATGATTTTCTAATGTAATCATCCAGATCTACTATTGCTTATAACCACTATGAACTCCTTCATGTGGCATATTATATTGCCACATCTTCTGGAAGGCATTAGCTCTGAATTTAGAACATATTAAGCAAGACATATTAACATAATTAGATCAAATCTCTTTCCCTTACCCTTGTCTTGCTTCACCCCATGTCCTTTTCTGGAGGCATATCTTCCCTTTCACTTCAAATACGAGAGCAAGATGAAATTATTAAAGATCACTGTTCTCACACACCAAAGGAGCAATTACAATTGTTTCCTCCCCTATCAATAAAGCTTTTTGTCAAATAAAGGGTTTATCATTCTATATTTATTTGATAGAAGCACTTATAAAGTACTATCAAATTTTGCTTCGAATCAGGGAGCAATGTCTCATATAAGATTTGAATCCCTCTCTGTGTTACAGTATACTGCCTTTGGTGTGTGCTGCCAATGCCCTTTGGTGGTAGTCACACTGCAAATATATTCCCTTTGCCATATTAGAAACATGCTTTACAAGAGTAAAATGGTATATATATTATAGAAATATTCCTTCTATAATATTGTGACGTATTTAATGGTAACAATATTTGCTGTTTATTATTATATTTTAATAGAAATATATGTCAGTTTCTTTGTTTATTAAACTTGGCAAGTCTAAGTAAAAGTGCAAGAGGATTGATGCTGAAGATTTATATGAATGACTCCAGGAGTCCTCCATGACTCTGGATCTGGAGCATGTAGAATATGAATAGGGATTCTTCTTTTACTTGGTTGCATGTTAAAATGGAGATGTAATCTATAATTCATGATTACGTATGATTTGAAAATAGAAGCAAATGGTAGAATATTTAAAGATAAGGGGCTGTAATAGAAGTGGCTCAGAGGTTAAAAAGAAGGACAACTTTCACAGGGACCAAGATCCAATTCCCAACACTCACATTGTGAGTCACATCATCCATAACTCTAGTGCAGGAGATCTAGTGATCATTTATGACCTCTGTGGGTACCAAACTGGTATGTGATACATAGGCAAAATACAGACAAAATGCACAAACATACGCACAAAAATAGAAATAAATAAACTTTTAAATACTGAAAATGAAGTAACAAAACCAGTTACCCTGAAGAAATGTTTGCCCTTGAATCATAAAATAGGAATAAACATACTCGTGTCTTAATAAGTAGGGGCATAACGTTATACTTACACGGTGAAGCCACTAAGGCAGTGAGCTCATCCATATATGTCTGTTTCTCTAGCACATCATTTTTTCTTTTTATTAATTAATTAGATTTTAAAAAATGCCAAACAAAGTTTCAAATCCCTTCCCTCCTCCCATCCCCTCCACACACCCTCCCATCACACCCCCAACTAATCCTCAGAGAGGGTAAGACATATTGTTTGGGGAAGGTCCAAGGCCCTCCCTGCTATTTCTAGGCTGAGCAATGTATATATCCAAAGAGAATAGGCTCCTAAAAAGCCAGTGCATGCAGTAGGGATAAATCCTGGTGCCACTGCCAGTGGCTCCTCAGTCTACCCCAGCCATACAACTCTCAAACACATTCAGAGGGACTAGTTTGGTCCTATGCTCATTTCTTCCCAGTGCTATTGGTGTTGGTGAGCTCCCATTAGCTCAATTGGTCTGTCTCAGTGGGTGTGCCCATCATGGTCTTGACCTCTTTGCTCATATTCTTATTCTTCCCATTCTTCAACTGGACATTGGGAGCTCAGTCCAGTGCTCTGCTGGGGGTCTCTGCCTCTGTTTCCATCAGTTGCTGGATGAAGGTTCTATGGTGATATTTAAGATAATCATCAGTTTAACTACAGGGCAAGTCAAGATTGGGCCCCCTCTCCTCTATTGCTTAGGGTCTAAGGTAGGGTCATCCTTGTGGATTCCTTGGAATTTCTCTAGATCCAGGTTTCTGCTAACCCTATAATGGCTCCCTCGATCAAATTATCTTTTTTCTCTGGGATCATGAACTACCTGATCAATGTCCTTTGTATAGAGCTAGTATGTACTTATGAGTGAGTACATACCATATTCTTCTGTTTGGGTCTGGGTTACCTCACTCAGGATAGTGTTTTCTATTCCATCTATTTGCATGCAACATTCAAGATGTCGTTTTTTATCACCGAGTAGTACTCTAATGTGTTCATGTGCCATGTTTTCTTTGTCCACTCTTCAGTTGAGGGGCATCTAGATTATTTCCAGGTTCTGGCTATTACAAATAATGCTGCTGGGAACACAGTTGAACAAAGGCTTTTATAGTATGATTGAGCATCTTTTGTGTCTTTGACTAAGAATGGTGTTGTTGGATCCTGAGGTAGATTGATTCTAATTTTGCTGAGAAACCGCCACACTGATTTCCAAAGTGGCTGTGCAAGTTTGCATTCCACCAGCAGTGAGTAAGTAAGTAAGCAATGCTGTTAAAATATTTTTGCTTCCTCAGAGAAATTTTTTAAAGAATGTTGTAAATGTAAGAATAGGAAGAAAGGGGGATCAATTCTGTTTTTTTTAAAATAAAGTTTCCTGAACAAACTCTTAAAAGAAATCTAATTAAATATGTTAATAAAAGTAAACATCTAATTATAGCTAAAGAATTAAAAATATCATATATGTATATCAGTATCATATA